GTGTAATTTGTGGTTGTCTATGTGTGTGTCCATGGCACCCGCGATACAGGGTTTCCCTAGTGCGGGGCTATGTTGAGTGTGTGCGTTATTTATTATTTATTTATTAAAAAAAAAAAAAAAAAAATGCGGGTTGGGAAAATCACACGTTTTCTGAGGGTTGTGAACCTTCTTCGACGTGTACGTTTCACCACGATGTTTTTCTTCATCGAAAAGCTCAAGGTAAATTTCAAATTAAATTTCGCATACAAACCAGAGATTTCGCATTCAACTTGAGTGCTCACACAGATCTTTTTTAAATGATTTTAAGGAACTAACCCTCTTTACACAGTCACTCGACACGTCGAGCGTGATTGCGCGCGGGAAAGCCTGCATGCGCAATCGTAGGCGATTGAATTTTTTTAAGCTAATGTTCTGCACCAAGCATCGATGAGGGTGGGCCTAAAGATGAACATGACCAAAACCAAGATTATGACTAACTTTGCGGGATCTAAATATAATATAATATACGCACTTACAGAGATAGTGGACAACTACATCTATCTCCGTTATTGTCTATCCTTCGACCCCGCTTCTCAGCTTAAAGATATCACGAGATCAACTCAATTACGATGGGCTGCCTTCAATAGGTTGGAAGATGTGTTCAAGTCTAGAATCCCTTAATGTCTGAAGACCAAGGTGTTCAATCAATGTGTCCTACCACAAACAACCTCAATCAAATCAATGTGTCCTACCAAAACACAAAGGGCAATGGAGCGCGCCATGTTCGGAATTTCTCTGCTGGACCACGTACCCAATGCAGACATTCGACGTCGCACAAATGTAGTAGACGCGGGTACGAGGATAGCCAAGTTTAAGTGGAAGTGGGCTAGAAGGGACGATGGAAGATGGACGAAAGCCGTTACTGAATAGTGGCCAAGAGATTCAAAAAGACCAGGAGGCAAACCACCCGCCCGATGGATTGAACACATTAAGGTCATAATTGGAAACCACTGGACACGACTCGCAAGGGACCGGAAAGAATGGCGTAATAGAGAGGAGGCGTATACTCAGCAGTGGGTGCAAACAGGCTGAAATGATGAAATGATGAACGGTCTTTCGCGCGCGATTGCACGCTATGGTAAACCATAACCCCATAAAAAATAATTCAGCGGTGTTAAATCATATGATCGAGCATTTTCATGAAATTGTGCGATCGGGAAATTTGGTTTGCAATGAATTCATTGTTTCGGTGGCTGTGTGAGTAATATAATCTGTTGAAAAAAATCCCCATCGTACCTTACAACCCACATTTAAACTCCCTGTACATGTGAAAAGATTCACATTGTTAAGAGGTTGTTTACAAACCTTCAAAACGGCAAAGAGGTCTTATTATATATCAGGATTTCCATTTATATTATTATTCCTCGACGAGGTTTCGAACATAATAGGAAAAGCTTCGCGATTAAGTCTTTGTTTCGGCTTAAAACAGGAGTGTTTTTCTATCTGAAAATCGACCTACCGATACAGTGATACCATGATGATTGCAAAATAATGTAAAATTATAAATATGAATCGAAATTCAACACTCGTTTAAAAAATAATTCAGTGTGATAGCGAGTAGATATTATAATAGGTTTGCATGCTCTATCAGGTGTAATGGAGGTCAAAAACAACACTAGACAATCAGTAATTACGCCCAACAAAAACAAATGTTGGCCAAACAAATATCTCTTGCGGCCCAGGTATTGAACCCGGGCCCTCTGCGTAGAGCGGCATGGTAACCATTCGCCCACAGAGGCAGTTACTGAAAGACACTAAATAACATGACGAACAAGTCGTGCGCCTGGTGGTAAGCGACATGCCTGTCCATAGCAGTTGCAGTGCCATTCAGAGCTTTAAAAAGTCACCCTGAGGCATAAGTTGACAAATCCGTTGTGCCTGTAATTTCACCAGCACCCTTACCTATTTAATGCTCATATTAATGCTTGGCGGCAGAAATAGGTAAGATAGCAGTACTTCCCTGGGCGAACTCCTTGAAAAAGAACTCTATATAAAAATATTACCATAGTTTATTATTCTATTACTGAGAATAGGTCAAGAAAAGCGTGCATAGATCCATAAATATACGGGCAAAGGGGATACAAAGAACTCCCTTCTCTTTGAAGTCGGTTAACAATGCACTCATTCTTAACAGAAAATATATTTCTTTGTGAATCCGTCTCTCCAACTACTAGTGACTGGTTGACTGGGTAGCATTTTGAATGAATGGACAAAGTGCCTTAGTACGTAGACAAACGTACAAATGCCATTTCGCATGCATTCCTGGTTTCACTCCTTCGCTGTTGTTATGCAGTCGGTTTACGGCTTTTTTGAGTAACTATTTTCGTAACGTGACTTGCATTTTATTTTGTGAATGTAGGTAAGGGACTTATGGCTTTTGTTAGTAACATAGTACACTTAAAAATAATATAATGTTACAATATGTCACACTTTACTATTTTTTTTTAATATCAAGTGACGGGACGAACAAGTCGTGCGCCTGATGGTAAACTACGTCCATAACAGTTGCAGTGCCACTCAGAGCTTTAAATCACAAAGATCTGAGAGGCACTGCCACTGCGCCCATCACCATGAGACATAAGTTAAAAAGTCCCATGTTACTGTAATTTCATCAGCACCCTAACCTTCTAAACCGGTACTATTAATGTTAACATTACTGCTTTGCGGCAGAAATAGGTAAGTAACAGCATTACTGTATTGGAATATCATGGACCAATACTATTAAGTCAAGGGGACTGCTAATCGTGATGCAAGACAGCGTGGTCAGGTATTTAGTACCTATTGGTAACACCAGATGTCGTTACAATAATCAAATAGCTATTCTCTATTCAAATATATATTCGACTGCATGTTCTTTTTTTTTGTATGTAACGCGATAACTCCGGTATTTGTGAACCGATTTTCATGATTCTTTTTTTGGTGGATTAAGGGTATTTCCATAATGATCCCATTTCATTTTGAAGAAAATCATCCACCTTTAAAGGTGGCTGTTCACGCATGAATTGCATGAAGATTCATTTTTATAAATAGCGCCTAACTTTAATTTAGGAGCAGTTATTTTAATGGTTGATTTGCTATTTCTCCAATTCAAGGCGTTTTTCACTCAATATGCTTTGAGTAGTGAGAACCGATTATTATTACCTCCAGTGTCAAGTAATATATAGTGGCGAACTAGATATTTCAATAGACGTAATTCCACGTACTTTTGAGGTCGGTTTTTTTAGTACTCTGTACTGAGATTATGTGACTAAATTGTTTTACATTCACATGCTGCAATTTATAAAAGCTATTCTAATTTCTAGTGATAACAAACAAACCTTATTTCACAGATCTTTATGGGCAGTGCCGGCTATTGTTATATTTTGTTTAGGCTTAGTACCATCTACCCATATTAGGAAGCGTTAATTTATAAATTAGTTTGTAACACATAATGCCTTCTATTGACACGCATAGTTCTCAAAGTTCAAAATATACTTTTGGTACATGATCATTAGTTGAATAATATTACAAGGGAAAAAGCTGACTTCTTACATTTCATATTAAAGAGGAATGAATTGATATCCACGGCTTTTTACATAATATTAACTACTTCCAAGCTGATTAGCGCCATCTAGATATAAGACGGAATTTTTCAGAGCTACGATTTGTAATATGGAGATTAGCAGTCCGCTTGAGTTATCCTCCATGGTAATATCAAAGAAACAAATCCAAAACACTTTTCCTAACCCATTTTCTCATAATTGACTTTCCTTTCGAAAGTACTAGAAAAAATGTTCGTCATGAATTAATTAATTTCCTAAACATGAGAAACTTTTCAATATCATTTCCAGCACCAATTTTGTATCTTGTTATGTATATACTTGTTATACAGTACAGTCGATGCCCTAATATAACTGACCCTCTAGCCGACATTGTGGTTCTGAGCGATTTCTTTCGCATTCAACAGAAATTCCAGCTTTTTTGGTACAAATTTGTATTTATATAATCTAATTAAAGATCAAATTGGCTGATAAAGTTTCTTAAAACGTCATCCTGTCAATCAAAATTAATTTTACGGCTTACAGGTTGCGGATTAAGTTTGTTAAACATTTTTCTTCACACTGATCTACTTAGAACCAAATAGACGGTAAAGGGGTCAAAAAATATTAAGATATTTCATCAACAGGGATCGACTGTACTGTCTACTGCAATCAAGAAAATTACTGACAACATTCGTAAGAGCATGAAAAATCAACAATTTACTGTTCTGATTCACATTAACTTTTAGTAATGGCTTCAGTTATATGGACCTAATCACGTTCTACCTACTACGTTCTCTAAACATATTTCCAGCAGATATTGACTAGTTTCGGAGCTACCTTTGGGGACGTCAGCAGCGCATAGTAATGAGGATTCATTCGCTACGTGATGCGGTATTTCTACCGGAATTGGCATGGATGTCGATTCCGGCAAGACTGGAGTCTTCTCTTAACGATGCTATTAACGTTGGTGCCTTTAATGTCGAATTATATCATGTTCTGAACTTCCCGAAGAATAAAAATTGTATATTTTTAAGATTTTAGTGAACTGTTGGCAGCAGTAGAGCTCCTTGTGAAAAGTTCGTCCAGAGAAGTACTGCTACGCAAGCAGTAATACTAATGCTCCCAGCATTGCTGCGTTCTAGTTTGAAAGGTAAGGGGTGCTGGTGAAATTACAGGCACATGGGCCTTGTCAACTCACGTCTCAGGGTGACGGGAGCAGTGGCAGTGCCCTTCAGATCTTTGCGATATAAAGCTCTGAGTGGCACTGCAACTGCTATGGACACGCGTGTAGCTTACCATCAGGAGCAAAACTTGTTCGTCCCGTCACTTGATATTATAAAAAAAAAGACTTTGAGTGATTAGGGCTCTTCTGGACCAACACTAACGTCAACGTTCACGTTTGATATCATTTCAGGTTGTGGTTATAAAAATGCCTCTTACCTTTATCATCAGGCCGGAACTCGGCCTCGAGCTCAGCCCGAGTGGGCTCGGGTTCGGGTTGGGCTTGCTTGCTGGCGGCCTTCATGCTTATTGATTTCCTAGTCTGGTGGCCGCGGAACACCGCTTGGATCTTGGTCGCTGCCTGCTCCTCCGAGACCGGCTGGTTATTCGCTTCTGTGGAAGATGAAATTTTCTTCATGAAATACTGGCAGATCATAACCTATTAGTTGGGGTACACGAAAACCCTCCCCGCATGACGTATCATTCTTTTCCAATACGTCCAGTGCACCGGGTAACAAACGACGATTCATCACGATCGCAAGCATTATAGTGTATGTCATGGATATGATATGAAGAAGAACCTATTAGTTATCTATACCATACCATCGAGTATATAAGCAAAATTAGAAACGAAATATCATTTAATTTGTTTGAAAACTATTTCCGCCGAATCATTACGGTGACAACTGCGCTCCGATTGGCCAGCCCGAATTCGAAACCGTTGACGGGTGTCGTTAATTGTTTCGAAAATGGACGAAAATTGAAAAATTACATATTTGATATTAGTTACCTATAAAATGCGATTCCGTTTGTTTTGTAATTAGATGTTTTAATGTATTTCCGACACCACCGAATGGAACAGTCCCCCATAAATCTTTATTACAATACATACACATGTCAATTTTTGGCGCTGTTACACATATTTCAGCCTTCTAATTTGTGATTTCAGTGCAAACGAGTTGATAATATTTAAAAATGATATAAGACCCATTTGCCTGATGAGTTGTCAGGAATGGATGGCCCTTATTTCGTCACTCTTTCTGGTTATATACTCGATGAGCCATACAAACTTTGCGAACCTACTTTCGATCAATATAATCCAAAGTTTTGTTATATTTTTAATGTTTTGTTTATAACCTCAGCCTTAAAAATGCCTGATAAAATAATAATTGCCAATTCACTAAAATGTTCTTTAAGCAATTTAAAAGTTGAGATCTTTGCACAAAATTATCATAGCTTATGCACAAAATATCATTGATTACTTAGGTTTTGTTTCTATGGAGAACGTGCAAATTATAATTACGAATAATATTATTATTATTATGAATAAATTAATTGCCTACTGCGTACAAATTAGAGGAAATAAATTCACGAGCTCTAGTTGGCAATAAAAATATATTATAAGTATATTTTATGACTTTCGTTCACGTGTTCGCTTCCAGAAGGTTCTTTCTTTCTAATAAAATTACTGTACTAGATTTTTTCTTATTTTCGTGAAATATTCCCATGGGGCAGAATTTATTACGATAGGGAAAATGTCACTGTATATAAATGTCGTAAAAACAAGGTAAAACTTGACCGCAAACAGTTTTTGCTGTTCTCAAAATGTCATGACAAACTTAAGTCAGTCCTCAGCGCTCGATATGCGTAAGGCAATAGACTGAAATGTCGACCATTAAGGCGTGATAACGCAATAGATATTGCAAAATGTTACGCCTTTTGACGATTTAGTGCTATAAATACTTTGACGATTTTATGTCAATACAATCGATAAAAGTGAAACCTGTTCATACGTATATACATAGGCATCTCTATTGATAAAGAATAAGCATATTTAAATATTTTTACAACATATAAAATAGTATATGGAACGATAAATGGTTTATCATTTATTAGCAGTAGAGCTCCTTGTGAAAGAGTTCATCCAGGGGAGTACTGCCACCTTTTTTTTCTGCCGCCAAGTAGTAATGTCAGCATTACTGTGTTCCAGTCCAGTCCAGTGTGGCAGTCCGGCATGGTAACCGTTCGGCCACAAAGGCAGTTATAAACAGTTATTTAAGACAAATATCGTTCTTCGTTAGATATACGTGGGGCGCACTATAAGTTTCCGGAATGAATAAGAAAAAATACAATAAATGGTCAGAAATGAATTTATTGTTTCTTAAAATATTCTCCGTTAGCGTTAATGCACTTTTTCATACGAATGAACCAATTTTGAAAACATTTATGCCACTCCTCAGTGACAATCTCTGAAATATATTTTTCATACTCTTCGACAACCTCTTCAGGTGATGAAAATCGTTGACCGCGTAACTGGTTCTTAATTTTTGGAATTAAATAAACGTCACAAGCCAGATCGGGACTGTACGCGGGATGGCTCATAAGGTCAACGTTGTTCACCTTCAAAAATTCATTTGTCTGTCTGGCCGTGTGAGAACTGGCATTATCGTGGTGCAAGGTGACGGTGCGTTTACGGTTATTTTTACAAAGTTTGTCAATAACTTCCGGCAAGCAAATGGTCGTGTACCAATCACTGTTCACGGTACAACGATTCTCCAAAGCAACAGTAGATTTTAATTACTGAAACAATCAGTGTAAAAGTTTAAAGAGCTTAAAAAAGGCAGTTGAAGTCTGGGTTTGAGGCGTCTCGTTTTGTTTTCACTTAGCTTGGAAAGGTACTAAATTGTTTTCGATCCTACTCTCTACAAAATTGATCTGAAGTACCGTCACTGATATAATTTTGTCGAATACGAAGCAAGAAGTGTATATCTTTAAAAACGTAAAATCTTGATTTTGTTTTTAACCATCTCCACTAAGATTTCAATTTATATAATTGGGGTAGTAATACGTGCATTTAGCTCTTCTTTTTTTTATAAAAAAATAACTGCTCATTTGACCTCCACCTGATGGAAAATGTTGATGAGGTCGACGATAAGACATATACACTTAAATAATGCCTATTCACTCTCGCATTGAAAAGGCCCAAGTTGCAGCATTCAGGGAATAATAAGTCGACAGGTAAGGAATGCACTCCTTAGCCGTTTGCCGTATACATGTGGAAGAGTAATGCTTCGTGAGAATCTTTCGAATGTCCACAATATAACAGTGGAATGTCAGCCGTCGTCTAGTATGGGAAGGAGAAGGCGGAATTAAATCATACAATTTCATTGTAAACTCTCCGTGATAGGTCCTGTACAATACCGACTAGCAGGCAACTTTACGACGGTGTTCAAAGCTTTGCAGCTTTGCCTCTACCAAATCCAAGTCACCTATAAGCCTCTCAGCATGCTTAGGTATTTAGAAGAACCATCCTTTATGTGGCAGCAGCACTCCATACACGTCCGGACTTGTGCTTGGTACAGCTGAAGCATCTGCCCCTATATATGAAGATAACGACTGATAGATTTGTCTAACGCTACTTAGGAAAATAAGTCAGGAAACAGAAGAAATGACTCTCGCAAAAGTAATTTAGCTTGTAGATAACCACGTTTGCTTGTCAGCAATAGATACTTACGTTTAAAAAATAACATTTATGCGTGTGATAGCGTCTACAGAAGCTTCCTTAGGTTAAAACAATTTAGTTGAACAGTGCTTCTTACTTCTTTGATAAAATTAGGTGTTCATGACTTTGCTGAAGTCAAATTACTTTTCTAGCTACAGTACTCGTTTTACATTTAAGAATATAATCAGTTATAGACTGGCAAAACAGACAAGAAATTCGAGTCCTGTCAGATTGAAGGAAATTTTCTTTGTGTACGATCTTTGTTGTTAATAATAATTATAAGATACTAAAAATAAATTAATATCATGGTAGTAAAATATCATAATATTAATTGGCTGCGCCATTTATATTTATTTATTATAGTTATTAATAATTACAATTATTTTTAAGTATTTTGTTTATAAACGGAACTCAAACGCATTCGTTTTACATTCTGGCGACACTATTCTCCCTCTCACCCGCTCCCCGCTACTCAAAAACTGTTGTCACGAGTTCAAAAACTCGAGGCGCGAGTGATACTCTAAATAATCCATAAAAACTCTTTCAATACTCTTAAAACCCACTCTAAAATCATATTCGCAATTCAAAAAGTGTAGACTAAAACAAAACTATGACACTATAATAAACTCAATTGCTGGATGTGCACAGTGCCTTCACGAGGTAAGTAGTTTTTGTTTTTACAAATACCGTTATGCATATAATATTTCAAAGGAAAAAATCGAATAACGTGTTTTCTTAATAATCAAATTTGTATCAGTTCGATCAGGCGCTTTGCACGCGCATTGTGTGTGCGTAGTGAAAATGGCGTCGCCAGAAATTGACAAAATAATGTTTTAAACTAAACAGCCTGGAATATAAAGTCACTAAGTTTTATCTTAGAAATGTTAATTTCCGGCGTCGCCATTTTCACTACGCACACATAATACGGATGCAAGCGCGTGCTTACTATCGGAGCGCCTGATGGAACTGAATTGGACGAGACGCGGTGATTGCATTTGTCGGTGCCACCGCTGCCGAGTTTCCGCGCCGAATCTATAGCTTAGTGTCAGTTGGTAGAGCAGTTGACCTAGACCGTCAAACTAGACATGGATTCGAGTCCTATCAGATCGAAGGAATTACCGTCTCATGCACCCCCATTGTGGGTTGGAGTGGACCCCTGGAGATCGATCCATATAGACCATTTTGAGAAGCATTGGTCTAGAAAGTAGTACGCGTGCGCGGCAGCAAGTTTAATCAGTTGGGAGAGTTATTCCCAGATCAAAGGGTAATAGAAGGTTTTCAGTGAAATCGGAAATTTGGTTTACGGATTATTGATGCGAAGTAAATACTGAAGATCCGGAAAACATGTCTGTTCCAAGATGAAAGGTAATTGAACACGTACTTGGCGAATTCGAAAATCTTTCACAGGTTATTGATGTGAATAAACTGTAAACGATAAAATCCTGACGCTCCGGTTTTTATTTCCAAAGAATGTTATAAAATGTCTAAGGAAAAAGAACAGTAGAAGAGAACTGGTTACTTCTCAACAGAGAGTCGACGGTTTAAATTCCTTTGGCGGTATGTACGTGTCTTTAATTTCTATTTTACATATATTTGTGAATGTTTGGTAAACTAATTGCCTCCGTAGTCGAACGGTTACCACGATGATCTCGTTTTATTTAACTTGCTGTTAACCACACAATTTTATTTTATAATTCAAGCTAAATAAAACGTCATAAGATATATTTAAATGTAGAACACAATCCTTCAAATTATATTTTTCCAATTTCTGGAAAAATTTCCAATATTTTAAATTTTCGGACAATTACCCAACAGTACTCTTGTACCTCCCTTATATGGTCACTCTCGTTTACCTCTATCAAGTCCTCAATGATTCATTAACATTCCATTA